CTGCCATGGATCAGCGCCAGGCTGAGAAAGGTCTGTCTTTTCCTTACGGGAAAGCTAGCGGTCTATTTATCTTTACCCGAGAACATACCTGAAGTGTTATTGTTTAATTTATTACTGCATGTCACGCCCGCCCCCCTTGGCCAAAGTCCCAGGATGAGTGGCCGATTGACCTGCCTTCACAGGAATCACATGACTCAGATGAGCGGCAGGTCCAACCAAAGAAAATAAAAACAGAAAACAAAAAGCAGCTTCTGCCAGCCTGACGAGCGGCTGCAGATGTCCTTATAAGGCATGTTAATGGAGCAGCGGGAATGACAACGCGTCTGCTTCTTGCTCCTCTAGTTATCTTTGCACGAGGGTTGTGTCAGTCAACTGATGAGCTAATTTCCTTCCCTTTTTTTTTTTCCTTTAGCAGGATGAGCTAACTGGTTGAGGTTTAAGTGTAATAACATGAGCAGTCCAGACGGGAGGAAGTGTTTGTCTGGGGGGGGGGGATTCCTTAAATCAACTTGAGTCATTAATTCCCATTTTTCAATAAAATGCACTGCTATAATAAGAGTAGCAGGCCCCTATGCTGGATACGCAATCATAGATCCCACATGCTTATGTACAGGCTACGTGTCACAACACTGTTCATGCGGGTGGAAAATGTCTTTGTCAAAAAGGAGAAAAGTGTGAACAGAGTGTCGGGTTTTCCAAGAAAAAAAACAGGACCAGCTCCTATTTCCTCACAGAGGTAAATGGGAGGCCGGTGTGCTTTGGTGTGTTCACAGCACCTTGCAGTGCTCAAGGAATACGATACGCAGCCCCACTATCAGACTCATGGTGAAAAACACAAGGACAACTGAGAACAGAGAAGAAAACTGAATTGATGGTTTTAGAAAACAGCAGTCTGTCTATGGTTTGACACCCCTGTCCTATAATACATCAAAATCATGTGATTTTAATGTTTTCTCTTGTGGCCACTGTACCACTGTACTCCCAGGGTGAGCTATTCATGATAAGTTAAAACAAAAGGCCTTGGGCTACTTGAAATGCTCTTATCGTGTGTGCTGTGCTTTGTATTCATGTACACTAATTTGGTGCAGTAGATAATTATCAAGGGCACTTATTTTGAAAGCAAAATCATGTCCAAAAATGGAGTTTATGGAAGCTGAGGGTGGGAGATGTCAGCAGCGATTCCTCTTTTGTTTTGACTGTACTCCAGTCCCTTTTTTTGCCACTTTTAGCTCTTTGTAGAAATTGATAAATGTGGTGTTGACTGCTTTGTTGTGGAAATGCTCTGGAGCCCAGGGACCAATCAGAATCTAGACTAAACAGGAAGAGGAGGTGGCTTCCTGTCCAAACCCTGAAGGAGACCAATTTATCCGGCACTGACTCCCTACAGCGTTGTACTGGAACAACTTTCTCAACAGAGAAACAATAGCTTGACAAAATCAAAAGTAGCCAGGTCAAAATGATGTATTTGAATGAAATACTTTAGCAGTAAACACTTCACACTCTTCTATTCATCAGACAAACAGCGTTTTCTCCTAATGTCCCCAGACTACCGGCGAGTTTTACTAGAGTTTCAGATTCCCTTTAGCACATTGGTTGTTTCAATGACGCTAACAGAACTTGGCTGTGAAGTTCTTTTTCCAAATGTACCCTCTAACGTCTATTTTGAGGTGTGAATAATGTCAGTGTTATGCAATAAGGGGTCTATTCATTAGGGCTGAATACACGATTTTACTGTTTTTCGTGCATTGCAGCCGTAATACTGTCTATAACAACAATATTTAGTCCTGAAGTTGCTGCACTAAATCCATTCTTCAAAGGTCTCTGCAGCAAATAAATAATATTCAGGTCTGAGGAGACTATGACCTCATTCATGTTAAAAGGTTGCCTCCCCTTGTAAAAGCTCGAGATTGACGACTGCGGTGCTTCTTTTGAGCAGCTGGTGCAAAAACGTAAAAGCCCCAGAATGCATTTCTCTGGGTATCTACAGCTCCGTACAAAACAAAGTGGAGCCTTGTCTGAAACATCATACCCCTCCAAGAAAAGACACTTTCATTTTTGTACGGATTCAACAAACAAGATATAAAGTGTCTTTTGTTTCTGTTGGAAAGGCTAGCTGCCCCCCCCCCCCAGTTCCCAGTCTTTATGCTATATGCTAAGCTAACAAAGTTGATCGCTGAAGTCGATCTTTCCATCTCGCCCTCAGCGAGAAAGTGTTGTAAAGAGTAAAGAGTGGATGTGCCAAATAACCTTTTTGATATTGAGGTGCACATGGCGCATCATCGGTGATGCAACCTGGCACCATCAGGCGTTTCCAGTCTTTCTCCATCAAACACACTCACTAAAGGGAAGATTGTGTCCCAATAACACTCCCCCAAAGATCACAGAACCCACACAAAAGCTGAATGCGTCCTTTACTTTTTACACCGGCCATCATTATCTCAGGGTTTTTGCAGCATTTGTCTGATGTGAATACCAGCGTGTGAGGCCCCCACTCTCTCTTACTCACAGTCCACTGACTAACACAGTGTACAATGTTTCTGCTTCGAGCTCCCTGCGAGTCCTCCAGTGCGTCTGTAAAAACTGTCTCATGCACGTCATCAGCAGCTCCGGAGAGGCTTGGCTGATGAAAACGGTGGCAAAGCTCTGGTTTTTTTTTTCTGCTTGCGTCGTATGAAAGGGGCCATTAGTCAGTCTTAAAGAGCCCTGCTGTAGCTATTAATAGCCACACACACACACACACACACCCAGCCTGATTTTTTTCAGGAGAAAGCTGGATACAGGGCATTCGAAGCCAGCCCAGCAAAATCCCCCTTTTCCCTGTTCATTTCCTCCCCACCCTCCACTCTGCAGAATGCCGTGTACTGTGAAAAATCTCTCATAAATGTATTTTTAGCCTCAAGCTCACCACAGTCCTCTATTTATACCGTGATTTGTTTAGAATAAACACACATATATATATATATATATATATAACCGGGTAAAGGTCAGACCTATAAGCTTGTTTGTAATTCTAGACGTTAAACATCAACTCAGAGATATTTGACGGCTGAATCACTTATTAGTTCAAACCAGACTTCACAGATGGCTAAACCAGCTGTGGTTTCACCGAGAATCATCACTCGACTATTTAGCCGAAGGGGCGAGGCTTTGTGAAGAGATGAAACAATGACACTACATCAAGTGGTTCACAGGTGTTTGTGTTAGTGTAAACGCAAAGGTTTGGCTTGACCACATCTCACTGCCTCAGCTTCACAATAAGGGTCTCACAACATAGTTTGAAGGTTTTTTTCAGGGCGTCTCCGGGGCCTCCAGGTACAAGACGCATTTGCATGTGATCACAACATCAACACCAACTTGTAACCCCATGTTTCCTGTTTATCTGTAGACAATATACTTGTCCGGTCATGGATGAGGTATTTTGATAGGACTGCTTCTCTTTTTATGAGAGAATATAAAATGTTATGTCTCAAACTGGATGCTTGAGTCAGAGAAACTCCTTTCACCGGCTTCCACGAGGACAGAGACGTCATTCCAACCCTCACAAGACGAGTAATTCCTGATATAAATAGGATATACAGGTACTTATATCTTTATATGAATTATATTCAGATACAAGTAGGTCATTGTGACTGATTCATTAAGTCACGCGATCATTATTCTCCATACCTCTCTCCCTAAGGCGTTCTCAGTTCCTCAAACTTAGCACTCTGGTTGGTGGGGACTTGCCATTATTTCTGTGAGAAAACATAAATCCATGAGATCATCTTATTTCTGGCGCCGAAGTTCCCACTTTGATGACAAGTCCACATTGTGCGTCACCGCAGGCCGTATTAACTAAATATAACCTCTGCAGTATACGACACCTTTTGTGAAATTCTGCTGTTTCTGGAATAAATAATAAAAAAAAAAGAATAAAATGTATGTATGATGCATATGTATATACATCATACATGAGGGAAACAGTCCTTCATCCACACACAATATCACACACAGAGGCCGAGAGTTTATAGGATTTTCTCCAGAGATATCATATACAATAGTTGTATTTTGTATGCACTGAAAATGAAATTAAAATGATTAAATTTAGGCAATTGAACACAACGTATTTAAGCTTTTGCAACGGAGGAGGTGAACTATATCTGCTACTGATCCCACAGACATGGAAACATTCATCTGAACCGCACAGAGACATGACAAGACCAAAAGTCTAAAACCTTGCTAGGGCCCCCTAGAGGCGACAATGTGTATTACGCCCCACAGAAAATGAAGCGTTGGATAGAAAAGATGGAGCAAACAGAATAATAAAGAATTTTGCAACAATGTCAAGGTTGTCATGAGGAAATCAAAGGGGTTTATTCCCTTCAGTATGAATGTTCTCAGCTCATTTCAAACTTAAGAAAATGTGAAAAAACGGTGGTCCAATGACAGATCAGGAGGTCGACAACACAAGAAACAAGCTAAAGGGAAACTTTGAAATATGTGTGTACATATACATAGTATATATA